AATTACAATTGCTACTAACTTACCCTTAGTTCTCAAGGAAACTATATTATTAGTTTCCTTGTTAGCTCTGCAATGTTTTTAGAATTCTTCACTTTTTTTGTTTAGCTAAGTTAGTATACAGGGTGGAGCATTTATCAGCTAAAGAGCCCCATATTTTTCTGAGGAGTTAAAGTAAACCAAAAAAGAGAGTGAGAACTGTACGTAGAGCCACAAACCCGACTTCAAATTAATGCTAATGTTGTCTGCCGGCTAGATAGGTGCAGTAGCATTGTTCCGACCTCTCATTGTTCTGACATCCCATTAGTCCGATGTCCTGTTTTTCCGATATGTGATTATACTAGGCTATACTGTATTTGTGTACCATAGAGGATCAACAACGCAACAAAAGCAGGCTACTGGTCGAGATACAAGTGTCATAGAGAGGAGAGAGTGAAACACCATAACCTCCTGTTATTAACTCTGGGGTAGGGGGTTTTGTAGGGAGCTCTGCGGTGCTGAACGGCTCCCAGCGGGCGTATTTCTGCCTTGATGGTGCGCCGCAACCGGCTCTGGATCAGCTGGGAAAGGCTTGAGGGGAAGCAGGCTCACGGCTTATGTGTTTGCCACTTTCTTTTTCATTTTAACCCACACCATTATTTTTTCCTGACCCTAACCAAGTGGTTTTTGTGCCTAAACCTAACCAGACCTTAACCACAGGGCATCACGATGATTTCGGAACAACGGGACTTGGGTTTAATATGGCCGGAACAATGGGATGTCGGACCAATGGGCTGTCGGACCAATGGGCAGAGCCCGGCTATAGATAAGGGCAGCTGTTAGCAACAAGTTGAGTTGGCTAGTAGTTGCTGCCTTCGTTAATTGGATTGGTTAGGTTTAGGCAAGAGACTGGTTGGACAATGATATGTCATTGTTTTGTTTGTAGCTTGTTTCCACTTCCCCCAAATGGCCACATCAGTTAGGCTACTCTAGGACTTTGAATGCAGGGCTTGTAATTGAGAATTTTACTTAAAAAACTATGTAACTTTTTGCAAAGCAAAAGTATGGCAAAGTGACAATTAGAAGATAATGGTTAATACTAAGACATTTTGTTACAGTAATAACTCATTGAGAGGAGTCATGAGTCAGTAAACTGCCCCAATATTACATAGCAATGTATATGTGAAGTTTGTAAACATTAGCCACCATAGGTATGGGCGGATTATGAGACAGTGGGCCCCTGGTCACAGACACACAGAAGGCCTCAGTACATTGGACCAAAACACAAAGAGTTGATAGTTCAATCAATCAATCAATCAATTTTATTTATAAAGCCCAATATCACAAATCACAATTTGCCTCACAGGGCTTTACAGCATACAACATCCCTCTGTCCTTTGGACCCTCACAGCGGATTATGAAAAACTCCCCAAAAAAACCCTTTAACGGGGAAAAAAAAACGGTGGAAACCTCAGGTAGAGCAACTGAGGAGGGATCCCTCTTCCAGGACGGACAGACGTGCAATAGATGTAGTAGAGAACAGATCAGCATAATAAATTAACAGTAATCCGCATGACACAATGAGACAGAGAGAGAGAGAGACAGAGACAGGTAATGACAGTAGCTTACAACAACATTATTAAAAGTAATAATATTATAGTTATAGTTCTGGCTACTGTGGTACAATATGTTGAAAGTATGTATTAATATCTGGCAGTATACATGTGTGACAATAGTCATAAGTGTATAATAACAGTAGAAGTATGACTAATGACTAATGATGGCAGCAGCAGCAGGAGGCATCTGGCAGGACCACGGCAGCAGCACAACCACACACGTCACGCTGTCCAGGCACCGCTGCGATATGAGTTAATCTGAGAGACAGTGGAGCACAAAGGCTCCGGAGAAGAAGCCGAGTTAGTGACATCCAGAATGTCCGAGTTAGCAAGATGCAGTAATAGAATACGAGAGAGAGAGAGAGAGAGAGAGAGAGAGAGAGAGAGAAGGAGAGAAGGTGCCCGGTGTATTATAGGGGGTCCTCCGGCAGACTAGGCCTAAGTCAGCCTAACTAGGGGCTGGTACAGGGCAAGCCTAAGCCAGCCCTAACTATAAGCTTTATCAAAGAGGAAAGTCTTAAGTCTAGTCTTAAATGTGGAGACGGTGTCTGCCTCCCGGACCATAACAGGAAGATGATTCCACAGGAGAGGAGCCTGATAGCTGAAGGCTCTGGCTCCTGATCTACTTTTGGAGACTTTAGGGGCCACGAGTAACCCTGCGTTCTCAGAGCGCAGTGTTCTGGTGGATAATATGGCACTATGAGCTCTCTAAGATATGACGGAGCTTGACCATTTAGAGCTTTATAAGTTAACAGTAGGATTTTAAATTCAATTCTGGATTTTACAGGGAGCCAGTGCAGAGAAGCTAAAACAGGAGAAATATGATCTCATTTCTTAGTTCCTGTTAGTACACATGCTGCTGCATTCTGAATTAGCTGGAGAGTTTTTAAGGACTTACTAGAGCTACCTGATAATAGAGAGTTACAGTAATCCAGCCTAGAGGTAACAAAAGCATGGACCAATTTTTCTGCATCTTTTCGGGTCAGGATAGGCCTAATTTTCGCAGTTGGTTAGCCTTTTTTGTTGTTTTGTGTCTCTTTGCAGTTGCTTTGTATCTCTTTGTAGCTGTTTTGTGTCTCTTTGTGGTCATTTTTTGTCTCTTTGTGGTTGCTTTGCATCTCTTTGTAGTAATATTGTGTCTCTTTGTGTCTGTTTTGCTCATTTTGTAATCATGTTGCATCTCTTTCTAGTTCTTTTGTGTCTCTTTGTGGTTTCATTTCCCATTGTGTAGTCATGTTGCATCCCTTTGTAGTCATTTTGTGGCTCTTTGTGGTTGTTTTGCCCATTTTTGTGTTCATCTTAACTCTCTTTGCATGTATTTTCTGCCGTTTTGCATGTCTTTGTAGTTGTTTTGTGTCTATTTTTGTTTTTATGTGTCTCTTTGTAGTCGTTTTATGTTTCTTTATCGTCATTTTGAGTCACTTGTATTTTGACAATTACAGACGAAATGTTCGGTCTACATGTCATCTAAAGTAGGCTATACATGTGTGCTCATACCCTGACCTTCACCTAAGAAAAAAAACATTTGTAGTTGAATGGATGTTCATGTGCCACCTGATGGCTGCCTACCCTATATTACAGCCTGCTAGTGCCCAATTTGAACCATATTTAATTTCTTTAATGTCCTGTATTTCATGGCAGTAACAAAAACACGTTTGCTATTGACAGCAGTTCAGAACAAGACTTAAGACACTGAACAGACACAGACACAGTCATCAGATATTGCCTGAAGACACAACTTTATTAATAAACCAGCAAGCAAAGCATGTAAAATACAACGCAAGATGCCCAGGAAACAGAGACAGGCATGTATAAAAACCCAAACAAACCATAAAAGTGGAGATGGGCAGCTGAAGCCTTGCCAACGGCTGTAAACAGAGTGACAGAGAGAAGAAAGAACAATGGGAGGAAAGAATGAGCAGCCGTAAAAGAGGCGGCGGGACCAGAGTGCCGAGGTTGTTGTTTGCATCCACACAATAAAGACATTCACAAGTGTCTGGTAAAGCGCAGGGACTGGTCTGCTGGACTGGAAATTGCTGTGACAACTGTGGAAGAGGTGCTGGACCGGTTGTAAGTGATGCCTCAGGTTAATAGTCTGATTCCAGATACTGCTGCTGTCGTGACACTACAGTGAGTTGCAGAATACAAAACATAGTTAATGCTGGTTATGGGTTAATACTCTGCTCTCTCCTCTCCTGCAGCCAAAACCTGACTTTTCTGAGAAAACAGAGAGAAAGAGAAAGAAAGGACGCTGTTCACCCATCAGTGGTAATATGATTCACACAGGAAAAGAGTGTGTGGATTAGATAGCTATCTGATAGCTAAAAAGCCAAGTGTAAATGCATCCAAAAAGCATTAGAGATGGATTGACATCTGAGATGTTTAATAGGTGTAAATACATCCATCTAATGCATACTAAATGTTTATTCCTCCCAAGTGTAACAATGTCAGTAAATGGTCTCTTGTACAGGGTCTGCCCTCAAGATAACAGCAGCTGAGGTGACACTGATATTACACTGAAATTAGCCATTTTCTTTCTGTCACATGCAAAGTGACAGAGGAAGAAAATGGCTCTATCAATTCAAACCACATACAGACAGTGGCATGCTGCTTTACGGTTGGATTCCTGATCAGTACGACCCCTGAATGGTGAGTTAGAGCCTGTGAAGGCATTATTAGCTACCCAATTAAACTGTTGTTGTGATGTGAAGTTTCTCTTGTTCTAGTGTGTTTTAGCTGTTATCAAACAGCTTCAGGGGCATTATTACCACCCTCTGGACTGATGTAGGGCTGACCCTCATGTGGATGTAGCCAGAAGATGAATTTTAATCAGATGTGTGATCTGGCTTATGGTGTGTTCACACTGAATCCGAGTCAATGAGCCTGATCCCAAGTCAATGCATAAACATGAACAGACCAAGTAATGCGGCGTGCAACTTTGCATCACATTCGCTGTGAACACACCATTAGAGATTTAAACCTCTGCCCAAACCCCACACCCAGGATTAGAGTCACCAATTCAGTATCTGACCAAATGTCTCCCCTTCCGTTCCTGAGATATGACATTAAATAATGCCCTGAAAAATGTTTTATATGGAATATTATGATGTAACAGTGAAGCTGACCTTTGGTCTTTTGGATATAAAATATTATTACTTCACTAATTTATCCTATTAGACATTTGTGTGAAGTTTTATCAAAATTACCATGTGAATTCTTGAGTTATGGCCAAAAACACATTTTTTGAAGTCACACTGACCTTGACCTTTAACCTTCAACCACAAAAATCTAATCAGTTTATTCTTCAGTCGATTGTCTGAAACATCTAAAGAAATTAGCTTAAGGTGTTCTTGAGATATCATATTCACAAGAATGAGACAGACACGGTCACAATGACCTTGACCTTTAACCACCAAAATCCAATCAATTCATGCTTGAGTCCAAGTGAATGTTTTTTGCCAAATTTGAAGAAATTCCCTCAAGTTGTACTTGAGGGAATTTCAAGCTCTCCATAAGATATTGTGTTCACAATAAAGAGATGGATGCAAGTTCACAGCAACCTTGACCTTTGAGTCTTGACCACCAAAATCTAATCAGACATTCTAAAATCCAAGTCCATCTTCTTGCCCAATTTGAACACATTCCCTCAAGGCTTTCTTGAGATAACACATTCACAAGATTGAGACAGACAAGGTCACAGTGACCTTGATAATTGACCTATGCCCACCAAAAATTAGTCAGTTCATCATTGAGTCCAAGTGGACATTTGTCTTAAATTTGAAGAAATGTCTTTGAGGCATTCTTGAGATATCTTGTTCACAAGGACGGGACAGACAAACACTATGGACAACCCGAAACATAGTGCCACGGCCGTCACTGATGCAGAGGCATAAAAATCACATATAGGCCCCTAACCTTAAATTATATCTGCAAGGACCTTAAACATTGAAGATGAGGTTTTTGAAATCTGCCTTTATAACTGGGGGACAGTACATTATATATTATCTACAGTGTTTGGCACAGCTGCATCTGCAACTGAGCAGCAGCTGCTCATTTTTACCACCGCAGGGTATATATATTTTATTATACACAGTAAATACAGTGCAACAACAGATTGTGTCTCAAATGCTGATAACGTAGCCATCATGTTGTCACAAAATCTCAAGCAATGTGTTGAGAATTGAGTATGCTGCTCCTTAAAGCCATTACTTGTCCAATTTGTATGTGATTGTCAAATTATTCTGATGATTTTTGTTTTAAAATGAGAAGAAAATTCTGGTGCTATTCTCACTGTCACATCCTGCTTTTTGTTGTTGTTATTGTTGTTGTTTTTTGATACCACTAAAGATCATTGATGAATCCTTGAATTTAATGTCTAAGTCAGTCTGGAAACCCTGATGCATTCTGTTCGTATAACTGAGCACTAACAGGACAGAACTCCCTCGCTCTTTCTCCCTCTCTTTCTAACACACACACACACACTCACATACATCCATACACATACATGAAGCTCACATATAAGTGACAATCAGTGATGAGGCTGAAAACCCTGCACACAACAATGTCCCAGCATTGACAGTGAGCTGCTGGATGGATTTAGGCGTGATTGGCATCTTCTCTACAGGTTTGGCTTCACCTCTTACAGTTACCTTTCATGCATCCACTTGGCCTGGAGCCACTGCTGCATCAAGACAACTGCTAATGCACTCAGTGTCAGGGTTAGACCGACATGTGGCAGATTAAGGGCAGATGTTAGTGCTGTCTGGCCAAAGAGACTTAGAGGTTTTTCCAGTTTGTTCAGTTAGAATATAAACACCAGATCTGTGACATTGAGACAAGCCCCAAGTCAAGACAGGCAAGTCCAAAATCAAGTCCCAAGTCAAGGCCCAAAGTCAAGATTGACAAGTTCCAAATCAAGACTGACAAGTTCCATGTCAAGACAAGCAAGTCCTGAATCGAATCCCAAGTCCAGTCCAAAGTCAAGCCTGACAAGTCCTGAATCAAGTCCTGGGTCAAGACTGATAAACCCAAGTCAAGTCTGAAGTCGTAGGTTGGAGAACATGCAGACACCCCACAGAAGGGCTCTCCCACCCCAGGCTCAAACCAAGAAACCTCTTGCTGTGAGGCAACAATGCTAACTACTGCACCACTGTGCCGCCAACTTTCAACATTTCCGCCAAATAATAACATAAAAATGGGATGCCAGGTGGCTCAGTGGGTAGAGCAGGCGCCCCGTGTACAAAGGCTGTGACCCACCTGCAGCAGCCGCAGGCTCAATTCCAGCCTGCGGCCCCCACCTTCATGAACTTGTACATTAGCCTACATTAGCATGTAACATGGTCACAGTAGTAGTAGACTAAACAAAGTTGCTCATATCCATGACCATGGCTACTTCCTAAAGCCTCTCCAAGGGGGTCCAAGGTCAGGAAGGATTTATAACTCTCTAGCATGTTCTGGGTCATCTCAGAGGTGAGCAAATGAATGCAACACGATGAATGCCACTATCCCCAGTTGAACAGCTTTTACATCTCAACCCTGTCACAGCCAGCTTTTACCCCAAGTTACCATTTGGAACAGATATAAACACTTTTGCCTTGAGATGTGCCTAGACAATACTTTCCACTAACTAATCATTTTCACACACAGATTTTTCATGGATTTGCAAAAAATGGAAAGGGACTTCGTCTGGAAGAGGGACAACCCTAACATGATAACACTGAATGGCTGAACTGGCTGGTTTGTCCGTGTATTTCAGTCATATAATATCTGCGCATAGCCTGAATCCCTGTTACTCAATCCCTGTTGTGAATGCAGCCATATTGTAGGAGAATTTTAATGTAAATATTGACATTATCGGTATTGGTGTTGAGTATCGGTATCTGCCTTTAAAATCCCATATCGGTCAAACCCTGGTTAGTATATACACATGTACATACACAGCAGTGGGAACATACTGTGGAGGTAGGGGCTGAGGGAGGTTTGGTTTAACTATTGACCAAGAAATTTCAGTGAATTCTTAAGAAATCTGGACTCATTTTGATCAGTCCACAAGGATGGGTTGAACATATTTAGACAGATTGCATTCTGGGAAAAGTCTTGTAGTGTGATCCCACTGTCAGACTGCAATGTTAAACTTCAGACTGATTGACTGAATGGAGACGTGGGAGCGTGGTGGGAAGTGTCGACTGTACTGCAGTAGATCAGTGGGGGTACAGAGGCGGTACGGGGTGAGGGCGGGGTCAGGTGCTCCTCACAGACAGAAGTCAAAGGTCAGGTCGGACTTGCCCATCTTCTGTCTGTACACGGCGTCAAACTTTTCATTCATAGATACTGTGAAGACATCCTTCCACAGACCAGCACGACCTGCAGACAGGACACAGGAGGAGAAGGAGGAGTTTTAAATATTGATAAAACATTCAGTTAAAACAGCTGACAGAGATAGCATCCTGGAGCTGAAATTGATTCAGCAGCCAAGACTGCATGACCAAGAGGACCCCAGACCTACAAGAGTCCTAAAAGCTCCAGACTTAATGTGTGTTTGCTGTAATGTGCTAATTCAATAGAAGTTTGTATGGGAATGTGCAACACTAATGCACAATACATATGACATGGTAGAGACCAGCTTTGTTAGTTAATCCTACAGATTATTTGTAGTTTTGTTTTTAATCAAATTCCAAATACCAAATCTGGGGTCAGGTAATATTTCACTATAGAAACATTGTGCTCATGAGCTGGCTGGGGATGGATGCAGCAGCTTACCTTAAAGGGATAGTTCAGATTTTTTGAAGTGGGGTTGGATAGGGTACTTATTCAAAGACAATATGTTACATAGAGTAGATGTCAGTTGGCACACCCCTAATTTGGCGAAGTGGCAGCAGTCCAGCATGGAGCAGTCAACTGCTGTGGAGGGGTCAGCAACAAAACGTGTTTTGGCCACCTAAAGAAAGTCTCACCTAAAAAAATGTATATCAGTGTACACTGTATTTAGAGTATTTTCACTGGTTTACCTTGCTGTCAAACAGAGGTTTCCTTTGAGAATGCCATGCTCACTTCCACTGTCTGATTGTTGCAGGTAAGCAGTTGGTGGAAGGTTTAGACTGCTGCATAAGTATTAGTAGGTAAATAGTGGCCTTGCGTCCAATATCAGGCAGCTCTTCAGCCAAAATGCCAGGTGGATTACAGCCTGGATTCAACATATTAAAGACATTCATTGGAAGAAGTAAAGTTTTCTTCTTTTTTTTTTAAAATCCCATTCACTCATTAAGCCTTGATCTGAGTGAACAGATGACAAATGGAGCCCCCTGGACTTGACTTTTGTTGGCAACTATAATTTATGGTTATGTATTATTTATGCATATTGTTTAGTTAAATTTATTTGGACTTATGTTTTTACTTGGGTGTCCTGACAGTCTGTGTTCACATTTTAAGAACTTTTGAGCTGGTTCATTGTTATTACATGGTTCTAAAACGCTCTTCTCATTCTTGCACAAGTAAGGCTCATAATGTAATAACTTATTACATTATTACATTATGCACAAAGCTGTTATTACCTTATACGCTCATGATTTTATTACATTATAAGCCGATTATTACATTATGAACTTTTATTACATTTCTGTTATTACATTATGAAGCGTTATTACATTATGAGCCATTATTACATAATGAGTTGCTACACTTCCACGCACCAGTCAACTTTCTCTTACAGTTTGCTTCCATGCCTATGAAAACACACTCACACTCATTTTACCCCCAACAACATAGAAGATCTATACAATCAGCACAATTTCAAGGTGGACATCCAAGATTTAAATCACCAAATTCAGTATCTGACCAAATGTCTCCCCTTCTGTTCCTTAGATGTGGTGCTGAGTAATGGCCATAAAGGTGTTTTATGCAGATCAATATGATGTCATGGTGAAGCTGATTTTCAACCTTTTGGATATAAAATGTTGTCACTTCATTATTTTATCCTATTAGACATTTGTGACATTTTGTCATAATAAGCATATGAATATTGAGTTATGGCCACAAACATATTTTGTGATGTCATACTGACCTTGATCTTTTACTTTCTACTACAAAATTCGAATCAGTTTATTCTTGTCTCAAATTTGAAGAAATTCCAGTAAGTTGTTCTTGAGATATCATGTTCACAAGAATGCAACAGACACAAAGCCACACTGAACTTGACCTTTGACAGCCAAAATCTAACAGCTTCCTGCTTAAGTCCAACTTTGAAGAAATTGCCTCAAGGTAATCTTGAGATATCAGGTTTACAAGAATGAGACAGATGAGGTCACATAGACCCTGACCTCAGAACACCAATATGTAATACTTAATTATTGAGTCCAAGTGAACGTTTGTGCCAAATTTGAAGAAATTTCCTCAAGCTGTTCTTAAGATTTTCACAAGAATAAGATAGATGCAAGGTCACAGCAACCTTGACCTTTATCCTTGACCACCAAAATCTATTCAGTTCATCCTCTAGTCCAAGTGAAGGCTTGTGCCAAATTTAAAGAAATTCCCTTGAGGCATTCTTGAGATGTCATGTTCACAAGGATGGGACTGACGGACGGACGGACGGATGGACGGACAAACGAACAACCTGAAAACTAGGCTATCCAAAGGCCATTGGCGGTGCAGATGCATAAAAACATTTAGTGATTTAGCATTGCTGAACTGGGGAGTTGCTGGTCTACCACTGCCTCAAACAGATATGTTTTCCTTTTGTGAGGCTTTGCTATTTAAAAGGGTTAGTTCAGATTCACCAAAGTCACACAATAACATAAACTACTGTAACTAAGTGATTGAAGACCAACAACTCACATGTTCAGCAAACTAAAATTACTGTTCTTGAAGTCTGGTGGTTTTGATGAGAGCATATGAATCAAGATACTTTGTTACTTCACTGACTATTTCTCACTCAAATGTTTTAAAAAATAATGGAATCTTGATTGGTATTTGATCAGCACTGCCCATAGACTGCAACTAAAGATGGACGACGCATCCCCACTTACCGCCACTATACATTAGTGAAGCCAAGCTATCCCATATATGGCCGCTGCCATCTGCTGCTGCTGCTGTCATTCATCCATTTCCACCCAAACCCAGTCCAGCCCATTGGGCTTAGCGCCATTGAATACTAGCACACTGACTGGCACACAAAGCTGTTGATCATGGCATCAAATCCCAATTTTATAGCACTACATAGCTACTTAAAATCAAACTTATCCTAAAAACTAACATCAGGGTGGTAAGTTCTACCGTAAATGACAGAAACCATCTTTGGCAAAACTTTATTGATGTGTACTTTGAGTTTTTAGTTTGGCCCATGTCCCATCCACTAACATGGAGGGGACAGGCTTTATGACCTGTACTGCAGCCAGCCACCAGGGGGCGATTGACATGTTTTGGCTTCACTTATGAGGAGCTGTCATGTTGTCCATCTTTATTTATAGTCTATGGGGCTGTCTAGATTGACAGTTTGACTAAAGTTCACCAGCAGTGATTACCAGCTGCTTTAGAGATGCCTTGGATCTGATTGGTTGTTTCACAGATTACCTGCGTCATGTACTACTGTCAGGATATAGTGACAGTATAAAAATAAATCAAAAAATAAATCAAAAAAGTTACCTACTGTAGCTTAAATTAAGTTAAATGAACCTTCAACAAAGCCCTTTAATTTTAAGCACAGCTAGATATGTATTAGATGAGTGCTTATTTACTACGCGTTGTCTTTCATCTTTTTAATCTTTTCAACAACACGTTGATGGATGGGTTGATTCTAATTCTCTCCAGTCCTGATTCCCCACTCCAAATTAAAAAAAAAAAAAAAATTAAAATAAGGGTCCAAGATATTTTCAAACTGCTCTTTTAACATCTCTAGCTTTAAGGATTTTAGTTTAGCTTCACAGTACTGTCACAATCTGAGTGTGGCCCGATTCAAGACTATGACTGTGATGACAGTGTTACTCTTCTCCATGATGACTGTAATGTAACAATCACGTGAATTCTGATGATTCATGGGACAATTGGGGCTGCTGAGTGAAGCAGCATGCCGTGGCTCTGACTCACCTGCTGCGGCCCGTGTGAGATACATCAGACTGACAGCTGTGTGTTAAGCCTATAGCACACCAGACACCAGACTTCCATGCACTAAAAGAAAAAGAATTAGATGGGGAAAAATGAAGAAAAAAAAGAACAGATGAAAGAAAACATAAGTATACACCAAAAAAGGAATGGAAACCAAATGGAATAATTACAACAAATTAGGGAATATATATATATATATATATATATATATATATATGCATATAAAAAACATGAGAAACAACAAAAGTTAAATCAAAGTGGACCGGGCCTGCAGGTTGAGATCACTGACTATACAGAAATTAAATGCAATCTGTGGTGTACATGCAACATTTAGCCACACGATGATGCTATAATCATCTCAAACTGAGTGTGAGAAAACTGTCTTGTCTATGGACAGAACTCACAGATCCCATCACTTATGTAAATAATTATGCCTAGTGTGTTCAATATTAAATACACTATAAAACGACATCATAAAATAAATATTATTATTATAATATATGAATAGATAGTGTTTTAGGATATTTAAAAAAAATAATAATTACAGACATTTTTACTTTTTATTAGTCTGTTTTTATTTCATAGTGGCATTTTTCCCAATGACACATTTAATTCATAATTTTTACTTTTAATGACGGTGGTGCTGACAACGCCCTCTCACCTTTCAGCTAATCAGATGCCTTCAATGCTGCGTTCCATTTACATTGCAATTCGAAGCTGGGAATGACCCAAGTTGACTGCGTCCCAGTATAAGTTGTAAAACCAAGTACCAGCAGCAGCAGCAGCAGCAGCAGCAGCAATACCAGGTTAGCCATTCTCAGCCATTGTTAACAATACCAGCAGTAGATAACGAGGAAGGTATTACGCTGCATTTTGTGTGCACAAACAATGTAGCAACATGTCCACAGTTGGAGGTTAGACAATACTATGTGTACAATTGATTTAATGAGACACAAATAAGACAGAAGTGCTAATAAACAGTATATGACTACAGCTTTCACTACTTTGATGCGCTGAGCAGCCATCTTGGACTTCAAGTTCAGGGATGGCAAGGTTCCTCTGTGCAGCCACAGACTGTGTGTGCTACTGGCTGAGCTGCTAACCAGAGTCTATCACCGCGCAACGTCTTGCCCTTCGGCTTAGGGGTCATGTATGCTACTATGCTACTAGGTTAGCTGCTAAGGATAGCCTGTAGCTGCGCAGTGGCTCGTCCTGCATCTCAGGAATTGTGTATGTTAATGTGCTACTAAGATAGCTGCTATAAGTAT